GATGCTGACTGATTTTTATAACACAGATAAATTCATTGGTAGTAAAAACATCCCTAGGAAACCTTATGAATTTAATAACAGTTTTAAACAGAAGCAGGTATTAAAGAATAGTCACAGCCCCAGTCCCCAGAGGACTGCCTCTCCTCATGATTTCTTTCCAGAACATCTTGCAGGCCAGTCACTATTCTCAGAGAAAGTCTCTTCTCTACACTGAAACCTGGCCTGCTCACCCCCTAGATAGTTAAAGTGACCTTTCACTGTCTGTCCTGTTAGAGGGAACAATTGTATGTGGCTATCGGAAAAGAAATTTTGTCTCTCAGCTGTGACAGTCTAACAGCTATGGCTACAAAATCTTAAAAACTGCCTTTGCTTTCACAGGTGTAAGAGACATTCTATTCCTTTTCATTCTTATTACAAGAGATCTCTTGTATAGAAAGTTCTGACTAGTCTATTTATAGTTATAAACTTGAAAACTATAAAAAAGTTATTATAATTCAAATTGCCTAAATATATCTGAGTGCACTCTGATTTTATAAACAAATTGTCATATGTATAATTGTCTGTCTGTCCAGCTGTAAAGAGCTATTTTATTTGAGGTCAAATTTTTTTCTCTTTTTGCATTGTTAGATTTTTGAAACATTTGTCTGCGATTTCACTTGGCTTATACATAAATGTCATCAAAATGAAAAACATGCTTCCACCAAAGTTGTCAGCTGGTCAAATTGAGGTTAAAATTAGTTTTATGAATGCAATACATATTGTTGTTCATGCTTGTGAATGAAAATAATGTGTTAAGTGTTATGATGTCGTTCTCATAGGTCATCAAAAATTTGTTAAGGTAATTAAATGGGGATTAGGCTCGAGGGAACTATTGGACAGGACTTTCTTTGGTGAATAAAGGAGCATCTGCCTGGAAGAATAATATTCCAGCCTTTTTTCATTAATGGGGATCCCAGTAACCTCCATAGCCTTAAAGGAGATACCCCAAAAAGCATTATTAAATACATTATTGTGATATGTTTACATTGCTCATTGATAAAAGGTTAAATTTTGTATAAATAAAACAATTTTCTCATTGGAAGATAATCTTGTACAAAACTAAATTACGAAGCAAAGTTTTTGCATGGTATGACAATCCATTAGTGCTAATCTCATGTTGTGTTAAATGTATTCATGCCTTCCAGATGTACAGGGCTTCTAAAATGTAAAACTGAGATTGTTTATAGTGATAAATCTTCTCTTTTAGATTCAGATATCTGCCTTTCTCTTGTGCTCCAGCTGCTTTTATTATGATATATATGTCAAACCAATGTGAGACCACCTGTCAAAAAATAATTAAAAAAAGGGGCTTCTATGATGTTTGTGTTATATATTCTCTCTCTACTGCAGTTAGGGATACTTCTGCAGAGGGGAAATATTATAGATAGCTCAATTATTTAGGCACACATAGTCAGCTTTCTTTAAAAACACAATTACAAAAACAAAAAGCAGGAATATGGTCACCTACACATGTACAATTAGACCTTGCTATCATTACCTTAAATTTTACCTTAAAATTTTAAAACCAGGTTGCAGAATTTTACTGGCAAAAGGACAAATCTGACAAGCACTCTTAGGGCTCAAGTGCTAAAGGAGGACATCCAAAGAGCAGAGTGGGATGGCCCAGTGCAGTTAATAACATGGGGTTGAGGGCAGAAGTGAATTCAAGCTAGAAGCGGTGGTGCTCCCATCACATCAGTAATACTCAACCCACCTGCCTGATAGAGAAGTCTTCTGTTCCCTGATGGATTTGTGCTGGAATTTAAAATAAAATGAACTCAAGGTGAAGTCCTCATGCGGACTATTTCTGTGTAGGAGGGAAACAATATGCAAAGTAATGTTCAGAGCTTTTCTCTTTGCCTATAACTTACAGGTACTAGAGAACCCTGCGAGGCAAAGTCTGAATTCTGGTAGCAAATAGACTCACCCCAAGAATCTTGAAGGCTCTTCTGAAGTTTGTTGCTGCTGTCCATGCTGTTGGATTTGTCACTTGCACACTTCCTTGGCCCAGCTGACTGCTAGCAAAGACTCATGGAGATGTCATCAAGGGGAGGTGAATGTCCTCTCCGGGCTCCGTAAATCCCACCGGCTGCTGAGACTCAGGAGCCAGGAAACCGCGATGTGGGCAAGGACTGGGTGTTTCACGCACTGGGCTGGGGGATGGCTTCAACGACATCGTTACAGCCTAAGTATTAAAAACACAGCAAAAGTGACACATTCACCCAAAAAAGGAATTGGAAAACCTCCTGTGACTTGACAGGCAAGGTTCTAAGACCCATGTAGGTTAACTTTGCAAAGGTGGGTCACAGAGAGGGAGAGGAACGTTCCAAGCAGCATAGTCAGTGTGTGCCAGAGAAGAGTCCCACAAATGCCACTGTCTGGTGTTGCAACACTGGACTGTCTCATCTTTGTTGAGAAATTGGGCTGTTCTCTGAGTAGCAATGTCTGTAGAAAAGCGAGCGCTTCCCTGTAGAGGACGCCGGTGTTTTCCTCTCCACAAGTTGTCCGGAGCTGTCTCAGTCTCTAGCTTCTTCCTTCACCACATCCTCTGTTCCAGGTGGGAAGTGAGATGCCGCTGTGTGGGTGGCTCGCAGTAACTGGTGTCCAGCGACACGGACGTCTTTACATCTACTTAGTTCCTACCCTTAAGACAGATGTAGACTCCTTGAATGTCTTTTATAAGGCCTAAGTGTACTGACAAGAATTAAGGGCGTCTTTCCAGTGCTGATGAGCTTAGGGAACTGCGTTAATGGCCACAAAGACTCATTAACCAACACACAAGTGCATCTCATTTACACACTAACAGGGTGTTTGTTTACTCAAAGCCAGTAAATGTAGATCAACTTTAAATGTCAGGACCAAAATTAAAGCAATGTCCACTTTTGGTTATTATATATGTTTAAGGTCTAAACTTATATTGTATAAAATAGAGCAGCTGTTCATTACTATGTATATATTATACTTACATAGTCTTACTTTTAAGAGTTTAGATTCATAGCATAGCTTCTTTTTAGATGTGCACATACACATATGCCCAAATAGGGAAGTTATGTGGTAAACTAAAATAATAGTTTATTTAACCAATCATGAACTGATTATCGAATGCATTTAAATGTTAACATTAAAATATTCTTTAACTCTTATTGCTCACTTTTTAGTAAGCCAAAGTCTTAACAATGAGATAAAAAGAAACTTATTTTCATAAAATATAGAATCTTTGCTTTTAAATTTAGTTTTGTCAGTTTAACCAAGGGTATTTTGATTTTTTTTAGAAAACTGTTTTGTTTTAGGCATAGAACACTTAATTTTTCAATCATAGCCCAAAACAATTAATTTAGATGATCAATCATAACACATGCTATGGTACACAGACAATGACAGACATTGCACTTATAAAACTGATTTTTAAAATTTTAAACATAAAAGAACCAAAATATATTAACAAACACACAGACATAAACAAAACAACATAAAAACAATAAAAGCAATACTGAAGTTCAGACAAGGTGATAGAAAATTGACAATGGTTGTTATATTACATGTTGTTATCTTTAAATTGTTTACTCAGATAACACTGATTTTTCATATTATCTTGGTTACCTAAGAACCTAGTGGTCTAGATGAATATATGTCACCAACTTTAAAGACATTTTTACTCTTCCAAAGTGATTTAAATTAGCCTATTTTAAGCTATTTTAACCACAAGCAGTTGAGATAATGTCTTGGGTGTTTATTTATCAATAAGTCAAATTAAGTTGAACTTTTGGAGGAGAATATAATATATACCTCAAAGTTAGCATATGGCAACTTATACATACTTTCCTCAAACATAGGTAACTTTTATGTTATCAAACTTACAGGCGTTTATTCCTATGTAGTCCTCAAGGTCTGTCAGTGTTTATCTGGAAATGTTTATAAAAAAGTTCGGCTACTGTGAAAAATTACACAAAAGGGGAATTTCAAAAAGAACCAAAAAAACTAAAAATAGAAATTGTGGAGCTCAAAAATTTTTTTAAACAAGGGAGCTGCAGGTGCTTTAGCCAGTTATTAACATACGTTAAACAAACAGATGTACAAACATACAACCACGCAATCAGTTCTTTTTAAATCAGAGTGCACTCTCACATACATGGCCAAGTGTAATTACAATCACCCTTTTGCAGTTTTCTGATTCATAACTATAGAAGGCTAGTTAGACCATTTTCTATAGGTCATCAATTGGCAGAGATGTCTTGTAATGAGTCAGAAAGAAAAAAAAACCTTTCTACATGTATGAAAGCAGAGAGTGATATTAAGAAGGGATTTAGGCTGACAGTTTATCTTATTGGAGTAGACGTGTTTCTGTTTAAAAGTGTTAAGAAATCAGAAAGATTCCTAGGAATATTTTTTGTTTTATCAATGGACACATCTGTGTTGTAAAAACCAGTCAGTTCACCCTGGGGAGAGGCATTCTAGGAAGGAGAGGGAAGGGAAAGGAGTTTTAAATTCCAGTTCTGCCTAAGGGTAGAATGGCTGATAAGCTTGGACTACAACATTTACATTTATTCTTCCAGGGTCTGAGGGAGAAATCTAGATCAGATTTAAGAATATATCCAAGAGATAAGTCAAGGTTGGCTTTACTCAGGGTCACAGGGAGTGGGGAACCCACCACCCTGGAAAGCTGGTCCTGAAATGCCGCAGGCACAGAGAAGAGGACTGCCCTGGAGCACCAAATCCCACTGATCTCAAGGGCAGAAAGACAACCAGACCAAACGCCTTCCAGGGTGGGTCTATTGCTGAGCAAAACATGCCTCCAAATATAAAAGCTGCAATTCACTAAAACTGCATTATCAAACAGAAAATTAAACCACTGTTCAAAGAGACTGAAGCACTCTTTTTAACTTTTTGAGAGAGAGACAGAGAGAGAAAGAGTGAGAGAGAGAGAGAGAGAGAGAGAGAGAGAGAGAGAGAGACACTCATAAAACAGATTGGAGATGGTCTTTCAAGCTTTCTAGTTTTGGGCTCGCCTATGTGTGTGCTTGAGCATTTTTAAAAAATACTGATAGAGGTTCCATTTCCCTAGTAATTTTTTTCCAGTTTAGCATAACTTTCTGCCTTGACTTTTGTTGTCTTTAGTTTTCTCTGCAATTAATAAGTTGAGGTTCAGAAACTTTATATCCAGATGTCTTTATAGACATTATAAATGTTGCTTAAATTGTTTTTCCTCTTTGGGTGAAGTTTGATCCACACCACATGACTGAAAGTAAAAGAGGACAAAGAATGGAAGAACTGCCCCTGCCCCAGTAATCGGGCAGTTAGAGTCTCTGGGCTGATAAACCCAACCCGAGACCTTGCTGAAGGCTTTTTGGGCTGTTCTGCGGCCACCTCTGTCCCCTTACCAGGATGTGACGTTGGATGCTGCTGCTCCTCTTCCAGGCGATGGAAGATGGGTCCTCTGTGTGGAGTTGCACCAACTTACTCCTCACACGGGGCTCCACTTGTCGCGGCTCATGACCGTGGCCTGGTGCGAAGGATGCAAGATGACTGGAGTGAACGTCCAGTTCAGTCTCCAGAAGGCCCCGGGGACTGCCCTGAACCAAGAGCCCTCAGCTTCTGAGTCTTATAAAGACAGCTCTGAACTGAAGCTTCTGTGGCTTTTATTGATAGAACCCGGAAGCAAAGATAAGGACCGAGGAAGGAGGTCATGGCAGGAATTCATGTGGGGACAGCAGAAGGACAGGGGCAGGCCAAGTCAGGGTGTTGTCTTCCATCCCTGACCTCAGGGCCAGTCTGAGTCACAAACTGGAGCGTGGGGATGGAGAGGGCCGGAGCGTGTACTCCTCAGTCAGCGTCCTTGACCCTGCTTGGGCGCGTGGGCCTGCGGGCTGCCGTGTAATCTCTGAGAGTGCATTCCAGGAGGGTTCGGGCCTTGGCTCCAAAAGTTGCTTCCCTCTGGACATTGATCTCATATACTCCTCTGGCCAGTGACCCTCAATTAGTAGGGTATTATTATATTTTAAATAAGTATAATCTCACCAAACTTAATTCTGGAAAATTGAGAAGAGTTATGAATCAGGAAATGTATCTAGGCAACTAATATAATCACCATTACACATAGTTTTTGCCTTTCCACAATTGTAAGTAAACAAAAGGTTACAAAGGAAAGAATGATTTGCTACATTGAAGGTGTATGCTTTTGGGATGAACATTGTGTTGGTCTTTAAATTCTGTTATTTAAATTAGTTTATTTTGGATTTATACATTTGATTTATCTTCATTAGATTGGTGTCAATAGTATAGTTAGAAACAAAGGAGCTGAGTGAGACATTCCCTTCCCTCCACTCAACTGTAAATACCTTACCACCCTATCGGTTATCCATGCTTCCACTGTCCTAAAAGAGGTAAAATAAAATATTAAAACCTTATGAGGTTGTGATGCCGGAGGCCACACATCACAGATACCCAAGGTACCAGAGTCAGAGGGGTCTGACACTTTAAGTACTGGAAGAGCAGAGTTATTGAACATTCTTTTTCCTTTTCCCTCCAGTCTGTTCTGGTTGCTACTGTCATGTGACCTTCCATATTCATAGATGTGTACTGCATACCATGGGGAGTATGCTTGGAGATCCTTTCCTCATCGTGCATGAGAGCCTGGACTACTTTTGGCCCATTCAAATTAACAGCAGTGCTGCTTGCTGAAGGTAATGCGGTGTTAAACTTCTGTTTCTTATTTTATTCTAATAATATTCATAGTAGAGAAATCAGTCTTACAGTATGGGAGACCCTGCCAATGTCCCCAATTGCTTGTTTGTTGCTACAATGCAAGGCCAAAAAGAGAAAGTCAGAAACAAAGTAAAAGTGAAATGGGGAAGTGGGATAGTTTGTGCTGAGCCATCAGAGATCATGAAACACCCAGATCCATGGTATTTATGTTCTGTGCAATCAACAGAACAGAGTGAAGAGGCCACCCATGGCTTCTGGGGATAAGATGCTGACACAGGCAGGGTAAAGATGGAAACAAAACATTCTTGCATCAAGAACAGAAGCAACCAGGAAAGGTTCATGGTTAATGACTCACTCATTTTTCAAGTAAAATGAACTATGATTCTGGGAAAGGAATTTGGGAAGAGTCACTTGTCCTTGGCTGCTACGTTATCTCAATATCAGAGCCCCTCAGCCTAGGGACCATATCTCTGGTCTCTGCTGTGGCCATTGGTGGGGGGATAATGGTAGTCTGCACACCATCCACAACATTCTTATGACTCAGAAATGCTACAGGCTGACTTGCCCATTAAACCAGGCCAGTTGTGGTGTTAACTCTTTACAGGCCGCACTGCTTACAGCCTGCTCTGGGCATCATCAACAGGGTCATCTCCCACATCACAAAAGCATGCCGACAGGTATAGTAGACAATTTAGAATAATTTCAGTTCACAATGTCACACCCAAAGTTATAGAATAATTTTTTTTTCCTTTTGACCAAAAATTATACTAGAAAGATCAGTTTTCAATTTTAGGCTATTTTTCATGAAGTATATATCTTTTTTTAAATTTTATTTTAAAGACATTTATAAAAACAATGAAAACGATACAAAATTTCAAAACAAGGTAAAAGGAAAATAACAATGGTTATTATATTGCATATTGTTATCTTCAAAGTAGTTGCTTAGATTACAAGATACTGGCATGCAAAATTGATCAAACAATATATGCACAAACTGTTCCTTTCAATGAACTAATAGAAATTAGTGGTATAATTATCTTAGCTATCTTATGTATGTGTACAATATATTTTCCTTTGTCTTCCTTCCTTTCTCCTTTCCCCCATCCCAGTTGTTCTGTCCCTGAGCAGTTTCTTTCCTTTTTTACAATGTCAGTTGTACATTTTGGATATTATTTGCTCTTTTAATTTCATACACTAAGGAAACAATATATTGGCATATGCAAGTTTGATTTATTTCACTTATGAGTATGGTCTCTAGTTCCACCCATTTACTTATAAAAGTTTCGAGTTTATCTTTCCTTATGTCTGAGTAATACTCCATTGTATAAAAAGACTACATCTTTTTTATCCATTCTTCAATTGATGGGCATCTGTGTTGTTTTCAAGGCTTAGTTATTATAAGTTGCACTGCCATAAACATTGATGCACATATATCACTGTGGTATGATGTTTTTAATTCTGGGAAAATATCCAGAAGGGGAATAGTGGGTTGGATTGGACCTCTAGTTCTGTTTTTTTGAGGAATCTCCACACTGATTTCCACAGTGCTCATACCATTCTACATTTTCACCAACAGTGGAGAAGGGTTCCTTTTACCCCACAGTCCCACTAGCATTTGTTTTTGGTTGTTTTTTTTTTTTTTGTGATAGTCATTTTTTCAGGGGTAAGATGGAATCTCAGTGTTGTTTTAATTTGCATTTCTTGAATGACCAGTGATGTTGAACATTTTTTCATATATTTATTTGCTATTTGTACTTCTTCATCTGATAAGTGTGTATTCATTCTCAGATTCCCATTTCTGGATTGGGTCTTTCAATTTAGGGGGCCTGATTTTTTTAGTTTTATATACATTTTAGATGGAAATATTTTGTCTGAGTGATAGTTGCCTAAATTTTATCTCAGTTCATGGGTTTTCTTTTCATTCTGTTGGTGATTTCTTTTGAAGTACAAAAACTTTTTAAGAAGATGAGAACCCAGCTTTTGATTCTTTGAAATACTTCCCATGCAGTTTGGTTTTTATTCATAAACTCTTTCTATCCGTATGTCTTCAAGATTTCTACCTACTTTCTCTTCCAGTAAATTTAGTGTTTCTGTTTTAATAGATAGATCTGTGATCCATTTTGACTTTAATTTAGTGCATATTGATAGACATGGGTCTAGTTTTAGTCTTTGTCATGTGGAAAGCCAAGTTTTCCAGCACCATATATTAAAGAGACTATCTTTTATCCACTGAACATGTTTGGCCCCTTTGTCAAAGATAAGGTGGCTGAGTGTGTTTGTAGTTGTGTCTGCATCTTCTGATCTATTCCCCTGATCCTCAGGTCTGTTGTTTTGTCAGTACCATGTTGATTTGATTAAGTAACTTTGTAGTATAGTTTCAAGCCAGGAGTTGTAATGCCCTTGCCTTGCCCTTGTTGCCCAGGATTACCTTTACTGTTCTACATCTATTCTGGTTCCAAATAAATTTTAGGAATGTTTTCTCTAGATGTGTGAAGTATGTTAATGTATTTTGATTGGGATGTGTAACAATTTTGAGTGTATGATCATTTTCACAATGTTGGTTCTTCCTATCCATGAATAAGGAATATCTTTCGGGTTTCTGAAATCCTCTTTGATCTCTTTTTTCAGAGTGCTGTAATTTTCTTTTTTCTTTCTGGTTTTTGTTTTTTTTCCAGTACTGGGAATCGAACTCATGACCTTGTGCTTGCCAGGCAGGCGCTGTGCAGCTCAGCTAAATCCCCAGCCCCAAGTAATTTTCAATCTTTTATTTTTTTTCTCCTTTAGTAGATAGACTCCTAAGTATTTCATTTTTTTGGATGCTCTTATGAAGGATCTTGTTTCCCTAATTTCTCTCTCTGTGAACTTGTTTTGTGTATAGGAATGCTATTGATTTTTGAGTGTTGACTTTGAATCCAGCTATGCTACTAAATTTGCTCATTAATTCTAGAGGTCTTTGGTGGAGTTTTGGGGGTTTTCCATGTAGAGTATCATGTCATCTGCAAATAATGATAATTTAACTTCTTCCTTCCCTATGCTTATTCCTTTTATTTCTCTCTTTTTTCTAATTGCTCTGGCTAATGTTTCAAAATTATATTATATAGGAGTGATGGTAGTGGACATCCTCATCTTGTTCCTGATTTTAGAGTAAAAGCTTTCAATTTTTATACATTTAGTGTGATGTTGGTCGCTGGTTTCTCATTGATGGCATTTATCAGACTGAGGTAAAGGCCATGTATTCTGATTTCCTGTAGTTTTTTTTTTTTTTTTTTTTACCATGAATGAGTGTTGGAATTTATCAAACACTTTTTCTACATCTATTGAGTTGATTATGTGATTTTTGTGTCTTTGACTGTGTTGATATGCTGTATTACATTTGTTGATTTCATATGTTGAATCATCCCTGTATTCCTGGAATGAATCTCATTTGGTCATGGTGTATAATCTTCTTGATGGTTTGCTGCATTCTGTTTGTTGGTGTTGTATTGAGGAGTTTAGTATCTATGTTCATTAGGCAGATTAGCCTGTAGTTCTCTTTTTTGGTTAGGTCTTTCTCTGGTTCTGGTATCAGGGTAATAGTTGCCTCCAGGAATGAGTTCAGGAGAATTACTTCCCCTTCAATTTCACTAAAGAGTTTGAGGAGTGTTGGCATTAATCTTCCCTAAATTTCTTGTAGAATTCAGCTATGAATCCATCAGGACCTGAGATTTTCTTTGTTGGTAAATTTCTAATTACGTTTTTCATTTTGTTAACTGATATTGGGTTATTCAGAATTTTTATATCTTCTTGACTCAGCTTTGGTAATTCATACATTTCTAGGAATCTGTCCATTTCTTCTGTGTTTCCCATTATATGAGAGTAAAGATTTTTT